GAGAGAGAGAAGGGGAGAAAGGAGAGTGAGAGAGTAGAGGGAGGGGAGGGAGAGGGAGAGAGAGAGAAGGGGGAGAAAGGAGAGGTGAGAGAGTACAGGGAGGGGAGAGGGAGAGGGAGGGAGGGAGGGAGGGAGAGAGAAAAGAGAGAAAGAGAGAAAGAGAGAGAGAGAGAGAGAGAGAGAGAGAGAGAGAAGAGAGAGAGAGAGAGAGACAAAGAGAGAGAGAGAGAGAGAGAGAGAGAGAGATGAGAGAGGGAGAGAGAGAAAGAGAGGAGAGAGAGAGAGAGAGAAGAGAGAGAGAGAGAGAGAGAGAGAGAGAGAGAGAGAGAGAGAGAGAGGAGAGAGAGAGAGAGAGAGAGAGATTGAGAAGGAGAGAAGGGGAGAGGAGAGAGAGAGTGCGAGTGAGTCAGTCAGCGAGAGACAGAGACAAACGCACACAAATACAGATAGATAGATAGATAGATAGATAGATAGAGAGAAGAGAGAGAGAGAGAGAGAGAGGAGAGAGAGAGAGAGAGAGAGAGAAGGAGAGAGCGGGGGGGGGGGGAGACGAGAGAACCTCCTCAGCCACATGCTAGTAATACGAAAGCGAAATCTGATGCTGCACTTTCGTGGTCTTTTCAATAAATTTGAAAGGCTAGAAAATGAAAGCATTGGTATGCAAAAGGCCATCATAGGCTATAGCCCATAACACGCAAATTAATATAAAAACACATAATTGTGAAATTGGAAGTCTGTGGCAATATGATAGGTGGCAGGGAGGGGTGAGAGCAAGAGGGCGTTGGAGGCTGCGGTCAAACCCTTACGTTGTGTGTGAAGCAGACACCGCACGCGGTGTTGGACTGTGGTGGGGGCATTTCAGGGGAACGTAACTGCGGAAGGAAAGATTAATGATAACTGTGGGTACTAAGGAGGTAGTTCCGTGATGCATAAAAATGATATGAGAAAATGACTTTGTAGTGATTTAGATGTTCCCTGGATGCTCAGAAAATTAACTCAGTGAGAGAGAGAGAGAGAGAGAGAGAGAGAGAGGAGAGAGAGAGAGAGAGAGAGGAGAGAGAGAGAGAGAGAGAGAGAGAGAGAGAGAGAGAGAGAGAGAGACCACGAACTGAGAATACTAAAGACCCCCTCTGAAAGGATCCGTTCTCCTCCGCCCCTGGCTTCCGGTGGTGTTACCGTATCCCCGTAACGAGCCCGATTTATGGCTCGGCAACAATGACAGCTGAAACAGAACTGATCATTTACGGGATGGCGAATGTTATTATGAAACTTCATAAAAACTGATGTTTTCACTCGTGTGTGAAAGGAGGATAAATAAAAACTAACAGCTCAAACGGCAGCGCAAGCCGGAAAGAGGAGTCACGGCGGCAGGCGGAGCTAGAGGCATGGAAGGAAACAGCTGAAGTGGGAGTCGCAGTAAAAAGACTATGTGCATGCTCAGTGCGCGAAATGGAAGGGTGAAATCGTAGAAGTTAAAAGAAAGAAGGGAGAGAAGAGAAAGAAAGGGCGGAATGGGAGTAAAATCATACCAAAAAGAAGTCTGTTACGCAATGCTAAAAGAAGGCTTAAGGCCAAAGACAGAAGCGGACCATACTTGATTAGACATAATTATTTGATGCGAGGAGCAAGGGCAACAGGAAACGAAAATAATCTATTGAAAAAAAGGGGTGAGGTACAAGTGTCAAAGTCCACTTCCTCATGGGAAGCCGTTCCCTTAAGTGCAATAAATAATAACGAAACAACAAATGTTTGGGGGCATCGAAAAAAGGGGTCAACCAGAAAAGTCTTAAATTGGAATATGATACTTTCCATTTACGTTAGTTAACAAATGAAACAGCTACAGTTTATCAATCTCAGGAAGAGCAGGGCGACAAGAAAATAATGGGGGTCGAAGAGCAAATGCCGACGGTGGGCAGAACGCCCAGCGCGGGCTGTCGGCGAGAGACTGGTCAATCGGGTCCATTAATCGGCACTGGACGTGCGAAAGTTTCATGTCTTTTGAGAGGCAGTACAATGATACTGACTTAACGTGTGTCCTGAGTGTAAGTGAATAACCAAGCGTCGCCCTACTTGTTCAGGTAGATAACTACTTACTGCTTTGTATAATTCATATCACACTGTTACAACTCATGCCCATTAAGTCATTTTTCATTTGAAAAGCTTTGGACAACAAAGGTCAGGTTGCGGCCATTTCACAACTTCACGGTCGGTTGGAAAGTAAAGACAAAGTATGATAAGCCACTTGGGTGTCACCGACTGCGGGAGATGTGTTTCGGCGAGGCCCCCGAAAGTGCAGCTGCCACAGCGGGGATCTGTAACAGCCAACATTTGGCTCGGCGCTTTCACAGTGCCACCTGGCCTCGAGCATTCACTGATGCTGTCTGCATTCACCTTTCCTCACGTTGCGATAAGTTTTAGCTTAATGTAAACATTTCCGGGGGCCTTGATCAACTTCATCATACGGCAAAACTATTCATAAGAACTGTAATAACTCTTTTATGTGATAAATTCATCAGTTGTCAATCACTGCTGTTTACATTTGTTTTCTACAGATCATTTTCTTCACAAATTTCAGGCAAACAACGAATTTAAATTAAATTCTCAGCTTTTGGGCACCTCGGCAATCCCCGTTATTTTGTATTGGGACTAAAAAGGCCACTAAACACCAAGGAAGCATTCAGCATCAATACATACACGCAACGTGATTCCAGAAAAGTTTCCTCTCACATAATCGTAAAAAATAAAGACCAAAAACCTGACGCACACAAACACGTGT